GAGTCACTTTTATTTCTGAGCTCTACCTGACTGTAAGCACCGTATCTTTCCTACTTTGTATCAAATTCTTTTCCAAAAAGGTTTGTATGAAATTATTTTCTAAAAAGATTTTTAAGATCTTTATTTTCCATAAAATGTTGTATAAAGTGGCTTCTAAAAAGTTTGATTAAATTTCTTGGATCCTAGTTTGAGTTAGGAATCGCACAAGTGTTCATCCAAATCCCTCAAACTAATGCTCTAATACCAACTTGTAACATCTCAATTTTCATACCAAAATTTTCATTTTTTAAAAGATAGCATTTCATTTAAAAAAATCATTCATTCATAAAGAAAACCATTTTTTGACAATCAACTATTAAAACCAGAGTAAAAATAAAACATGTAGAAATCATAAACATGATGCCGATGCGCGTGTACAGTCAAGGCTTGCCATTCCTCCCGATCTAACAAAATATTTGCAAAACAGTTAATCAACAACTGTAAGCTAAAGCTTAGTGACTTCAACAAGATACGACATACCACAATATAAGCAAGGGTCTCAGTACTAAAACTAGTCCGCCTGAACAATATCGAGTATATAGGGTCACAACACTTTGGTTGGTTTTCCGGTCAACTTGCCTCGTTGTGAGTGTCTAGAGTGACAACACTTAATGTCGATCTTGTCATCAAGTAGCCCATTTGGCCCACAACATAAAGTTGCATCGCTCCCATCTTGGCCTTCCGCACAAAGATGGAATGCCTCTGTCAAATACAAAAATGTCGACATATATATAATACATATAAAGAACCAAATGAGCATCACAAGTGATAGTCTACAAGTTTACTTGCTTAATAACCTACTATAGTCTAACCACATCCTAGCATACATGGACACATACTGTACTATATAGTATAATGAGAAAACTCATCTGAGCAATTACTCAGACGTCAATCGGGGTTCAACAAGTAAGTTGGCGCTACGAACACAAAATGACCTATAATGCTATAACTAATAAGTAACTAAGGAAACCTGATAACAAAAGCTAGATCCTTAACTTATCCCAGCAACATTGAATAACTATCAAGTAAGGATTAGTCAATCAAGATAGTCGGAAGGCAAGATCATTTCAGCATATAACTTTTCTGAAATGCAACAACCAAAGGAGCGTATCTATTCTAGACACCACACACATAAGTAGATCAATTAGTATAATAACTAAGATTAATGATTATTTACTACATAGGTTCATAATAAGGACAAACGAATATTCTTTATATGAGTTATACTTACGCGAAAGTATAACTTACTTGATGTACAGACTCTAAGTATCCATGAGTAAAACTTTAACGCTTACTTCTTATGTCCGTCCAGAATCTCTAGCGCTTCGGTACTAATACTATTGAAACTACAACACGAGGAGTCGAATCACAAGGAACTAAAATGCTCGTGGGTGAGAGAGAAACGATTTGGAGAAAAAGAGTGGTTCAAGAAAATGAGGAGGCCTTAAGCCTCCTTTTATAGTTGGTAAAAGCACGTTACGGTGGCATTCTACTGTGCCACACTGATTTTTATACAATTCTCCAAAAGTTATAACTTTTTCATATGAACTCTGTTTTCGAAGTTCTTTATATCCATACCTTGAAGACCACTACTTCTTTCATTTTGACCATTCTGACTAAAACAAAACTTATTTTTACTTTCAAATGTTTATATTTTTTATCTCGAAATGTGAAAACAGGGTGTTACATTCTAACCCTCATACGTTCTTCATCTTAAACCCGTTTTCCATGATCTTTATATCAACATGAAGGTGTGGATGAGTTCTACAACTCCATTAAGTCACTTATCACTGAGTTAATATGAATGTTAATCTATTAAGTCCGAAAACTTGACCAAAAAAACTTAAAATTTCCCATTTTTCATTTTTGGTCAAAATGCATCTTCTCATGAAGTTCTTTTTTCTTGAACTCACTTTTCTAATCTCAACTAAGTGACTTAAATTTATATTTTCCATTTTCATGAAGTCACAACTTTATAAACTTATAAAATTCTTATAAATGAATACTTTTCCTTTTTGGTTAATAATTGACTAAAAATCAAATCTCTCTAAATTTTGGGATGTTATAGTGATAGTGGTGAGAAAATTAAAAAAGTAATTAACTATTTCCCAAACATAACAAAATTCTCTAAAAATCAATTTACTATATTTTAGTAATCAATTTTTACAGTGTTGTGTATTCGTAAATATTTTTTAAAACTAGGGGTGTATATGAGACGATTTGGTTCGGTTATTGATTAAAACTGAACCATAATAATTACAATTGGTTAATGTATTTCAATAGTTGTTGGGTAGCATTTAATATTTGTTTTGGTTAACAGATTCGGTCGGTTAATGGTTATGGTTAATAATTAATATTACGGATAAACATATGAATTGGGCAACCGGCCGGAACCGGTATCGGAATCGGAACCGGTAGTGGAACCGGAACCCAATGGAACCGATCGGGCCAGAACGGGGATGATATTCTTGTAGATTTTTGGAAGCGGTAACCGGTAGAACCGGCAAAAACTGGAACCATATGTTGCTATTTCTCGAGGAACGGTTCAAACATTAAAGAGACGACAAGAACCAGTAGGAACCGGAACCGGTAGAACCGGTGGTTTGATTTGGTTCTTATTTTCCACCAAGTTTGGTTCCCGGGCCGGTTCCGGTTCGGGTTGGTTTCAGCCGGGTCGGTTCCTTTGTTCATCTCTAGTTAATATCGGTTAACTTATAATAATGGAACCATTTGTATTCGGTTAATAAAAATTAAAAATCACATCATATCGTTTATTAATGGTTTGGTTAAAATGGTGCAGTTATATCAATTAATTTGATTTTGATTGAGTTTTTTTCGGTTAATATGATCATCATTTTTAAAACTACCATATGTAGTTACAAAACTCACTAAGTTTTACTTAATGGTGGTGATTTAAAAAAATATTTAATAAAGTATTGTCATTTGGAATTTAATTAGTAAAAGTAATTACCATTGTTTAAATTAGGTCTTAAAATTTATAAATTCAATAAAATATAAAAATCATTCAATAAATTAAATTTTTTTCGTAAAATAGTACTAACTAATGTTTTCAACTTTTTATACAAAATCAAATATTAAACTCTGAAGTCTGTCTGAAGTCTGCGGACCACCTCTGCAGACCTCTGCAGCAGAAGAGGTGGACCAAAGTGCTGCAGACTGTAATGAGAAGCATGTTTGTTTTCTTAACGTCTGCAGACTGCTGCAGATATTAAAAAATTTAAAATAAAGTAATTTAATAAACCGAAAATAGTTTTTTAATACCAAAAATTTAATAATTGTAGTCTTAAAACATTGAAATAAAATTCAAACAACGAAATTAGTCTTACAATAACATTTTTAAATAAAATTCATACAACCAAACTTTAATAATTTTCATTCCATATTTTGCATCAATTGTTCGGCAATTTCATCCCGTAACTGGCTCATATATTCACGGTCCGCAGCAGTACCATGTGTTGGAATCTCATCTTCATCATTATCAACGACCGCATTGTTATTCCGAACCGAGACATTTGGTTCATCATATCGTGCAAAAAACTCATCACGTAGTCCCTCTCTTCTTATAAAATTATGAAGCGCAAAACATGCTAGAGTAATGTTTCGTTGTGTAACCAACGAGAATGGTGCCATCCTCTTCAGTATAGGGAATCGTGCTTTCAAGACACCAAAAGCACGTTCAATGACATTCCGAAGTTTTGCGTGTCCATGGTTAAATTTTTCTTTATTCGTTAATGCACGTCTTCGACGGAAATCTCCAAGCCAATACCTAACATTACGGTACGGTGCCATAAAACCTCGAATGTTTGCATAGGCGGCATCACATAGATAATATTTATCTGTAAAAAAAAGTCATTTATTTTCAAATAAAGATAAAACTATTTAAATAACCATAAATTTACCTGGAGGTGGAAGCGGGAATGGTGCATGTGGATTTGCTAATGCTTCTGATAAAATTCTAGAATCGTGTGCTATCCCTTCCCAACCGGCAACAACAAACGTAAACATCATGTTAAAGTCACATATTGCCAATACGTTTTGGTAACAATCGCCTTTTCCCCTACTTCTATATAAATCCTGTTTGTTTGCAGGGACAACAGCATGTATCAAAGTGCCATCAAGTGCACCAACTGCTCCCTTGAACACCCGTCGTAGCCTCCTATTATGTCCCGGAATGTTTGGATTCGGATTAAAAGATGTTGGTACTATAATGTCATGTGCGAAAAGCAACATTTTGGCCAACACTTCATGAAAAAACTTATGAATTGTTTGCTTTGAGTGTTGAAATCTCCGCTTGATAATCACATAACGTTGGTTATGACCGATCATCATCAAAAACATAGCCATCTTCTCCTCAACCGACACATGTTTGCTATCCTTTAACGCGTAGTTTACTCTAAAATGAGCACATAGTCGGACAAATGATTCACGAGACATGCGTAACACTTCAAGACATTGTAGAGGATTACGGTGAAGTAACTCTAACGTAAATTCATGTCCTGTCATTTCCGAATCGTTGTCCCGAACTCGTTTTACACCCCTCTTCCAAAAGTAGCGGACATACAAGTACATAAGAATTATGAGTAGTATCTTTTTGTCGTGATCCATTACAAACCTATTAATAAAGAAAACATATAATAACATAAGATAATAATATATTATAAGATAATAATATAACATAAGATAATAACATAAATCTCAAGTACCAAAAAAATATAACATAAATTTCAAGTACCAAAAAACATATCATAAATCCCAAGTAGCAAATAACCAAATAACATTCAAGTACCAAATAACAAAATAACATTCAAGTACCAAAACATATCATAAATCCCAAGTAGCAAATAACCAAATAACATTCAAGTACCAAATAACAAAATAACATTCAAGTACCAAAACATATCATAAATCCCAAGTAGCAAATAACCAAATAACATATAAACTTAACGAACAATCTTTCCATCCTTTAAAACTCCTAAACTTGTAGCTGTCATCTCGATCCATCCTCTTAATATTTGTGGATCATTAGGCAAATTTACCCACATCTCTCTAATATTCATGGTCCCTCCAAAAATGTGATACGCAGCAAATCGTATAGGGTCTATTGGGTCTAACTCGAGCAACTCAAGCTTCTCTAAACACTGGGGAATTGTTGGCCCTTGAGTCAAATGGCGTAGAGCTTTTTGCATCTCCAGTGCTAAATCATCAGCAGTAATAGAAGCTTTAGGCGAGGCACAAGAAGGTGGATCAGGTGAGGCACTGGGAGCTCGAGGTCTAGGAGTTGAAGGTTTAGCCCTTTTGTTGGGGTTACCAGAAGGTGAAGCAACATAAGGTGAATCAGCAGAAGGTGGAGTCTGAGTAAAATGTTCACTTGTATGATTGGAAAAAAAATCATCTTCATCTATGTTAATGGAAGGCGCGTCCAAAAGCTGTAATGGTGCGCCATGGAAAGAAGATGATCCCGATGGTGTTTGGGATGTGGCATAGCTGAGATTACCAGATGCACTGCTTCCATCAAAGAGTTCTGCACAAAGCTCTGGAAACAATAATGGGACGGTTTTCAAAGAAGCAGCTTTCGGATGTCCCTAAACGCAATCAATGTAACAAAAGTAATATAAGAATAAATATGTGTGTATATATATATATATATATATATATATATATATATATATATATATATATGTATATATATATATATATATATATGTATATATGTATATATGTATACCTTTTTAAAGTCCTCCCACTCCTCATTTGTTAAGTTAAAAGTATTTGTTTGTGGGTTGTAAAGGTTTCCAGTTTTGTTTCTTAAGTATAACCATCCTGTGTATTTGGCTTTAAGGTTATCATAGGCGTTTTTTAATTGTCGTTGATTCAAATCCACGCCATACTTTTCCTTAATAGTTGTCCCTAACTTGTGCCATGATTGTTTGTGCAAACTCAAACCTTTTCTACCCACGGTTTGCACTTCTTCAATACAAGTTTGCAATAAGCATTTTGTTTGCTCATTGGTCCATGTATGTTTATCTCCCATTGCTAATAACAAAAAAAAAATATAGAATACATACTTTAGCTACAAAGATTAATCATATTCCAACATAATCAACAAAAAAGTTTAGATATTCAACAACAATACATCATGAATGAACTAAAAAAAAACAATTAAGCAAAGATTATGATTTTGAAACCGAGGGCATGCAAGAAATCACAAAATTGGTCCTCAAATGCAAAGAATCGGTACTCAAATGCATAAGAAATCACAGAATTTCTACTCAATTTCATACAATCGTTAGTCAAATCAATAAGAAATCAAAAAAAAAATAAAATTCCTATGTTTGATTCCTATGTTTGATTCCTATGTACTCAATTTCACAGAATTTGTAATCAATTTCATTGAATCGGTGCTCAAAGAAATCAGAAAAAAAAAAAAAAAAAAACTTACCTGTGAAGAAGAAGAAGCCGGGCGGTGGCGGGAGGCTGGATTCCGGCGACGGCGATGGCGATGGCTGGAGTCCGGCGATGGCGACGGCTGGCAGCGGACTCGACGGTGGCGGGAGGCTGGAGTCGGACGAAGAAGAAGCCGACAAGAAGAACGGGAAGAAGAACGAGAAGAAGCCGAGGACTGGAAAAAAAAAGATGCGGCCGTTTTTTTTTTTTTAGGGTATAGGAGTGATTTTTTAATGAGGTTAGAAGTAGTTAGAAGAGGTAAGCCCACTGCTGTGTGGGGAAGAGGACGGGAAGAGGTTTTTAAGCCCGAAGTCTGCAGAAAAACAAACAGCTGCGAACCTAAAAGTGCTGCGCGTGTGCTGCGCCACGCAGCACTAAGAGGTTAGAAGAGTTTTTTTCTAAAAAACAAACACCACCTTAGCTTCATTTTCTATCATCGAATATTATGCTTTAGTGGAATGATATCAGCAAATCATGCTGAAAACGTAAATATTACTAAACATAAATAAAAACTCAATACATCGCACCAATAAAACACAATGAACACTACACGTCCCTTCTTCAATGTTCAATAAAAAATTTAAAAATATCAATAAGCATATTTATGAAAGGACATCAGATATAAATTTTACATATAAAGTAAAGACAACAGTTAAAATGTGATACCAAATAAAAATCAACACGTATTTATGAAAGTAAATTTAAAAAAATAACAACAGGCACCAACTTATCCATTAAAAAAGTTCTTCTAATCTTCTTCAAGCATAACCTTAGAATGGTCAAATCTGTAGTCGAGACTCTAAACTCCAAAGCAAATGAAATTTGAAAAGTTTATATAGCACACATTTAGAAGAGCAAACAAGAACCAAGGCAAAGATTAGAAAAATAGCAAAGAAGCCGTTTTAGTTGAAATGAATAATTAAAATTAACAGATAATAATCAACTAATAAAAATTTCAATCTTACAGTTCGAAGTTCTTTGCTACGTCTTTCATCTCCATGATGCAAAAATGAAAACTCATTTTGACAATTTCTTTCGTTTAGATTTCAATTTCGCAGTACGTTTTCAAGAAATTTGATTTGGACAAGTCAAGAAAAATTGGGCCCTCCGTTCATTCGATCCTGTGCAGTAGTTGAACATGTTGTTTTTGGTCCCGCCAATGTTTGGGCCTAATGCCTATCTTCTTTTATTTTTGTACTCACCAGTTTAGGAAATATTAATATAAATGCATCATAATATTTGTTTTTTGAAGTTCAAGCAAATAATAAAACATAGCACCCTTGAATATATTATGGCATCACAGTAAAATCTAAAATCTGAAGTTATGGTATCACACTAAATCTAAAATCTGAACACTCAACCTTAGTTTTTGTTTGCACGATGACCGAAGGAGATCCTTCTGATCAAACACGTGGAGAATTTTCCTTGTATTAAGCTCCTTTTGGGGGAATTTTCTCTGGCACCCCTATGGGTTCGATCTGCTCTTTGAGATGACTTGAATTCGGGTCTCCTTCTGAAATAACGGAGGAGAGGCTTCTGTTGCACCAACCATCGGTCCAAAAAAACATTTGGAGAGAAATCAATCGTGGATATCTCCTCACCCTACTTCATCACCCAGATAACTCACCCTGGACAAAATTTCATAGGAGATGGCGAACACTGTTTGCAAAAACAAAGTGGTTTTGTCGATGATATAATTAGCATACCGGGAGAAAACTCGATTGAATTAATAAATTAGAAAGGATACTGATGCGGCTTCGGATCCAACCATTTGCTCCGAGGAAATGCTTCCACGTCAGGGACGAATCTGCTAGGTCACAATAGACAAGCCCGTTATAGCCGCCCCAGGGACTGTGCCCCGGGAGCAGGCTCCGACTGTCAAGTTAGATCATCTAGTAGATCTGAGACAGTTCTCTTTAGCTGGAGAGAACCATCTTGGTGTTGGTGGTGGTATATGGTGGCTGACATCGGCGGGTGGCGGCTGAGCCACCTGGCTGGAGTATAGTATGGCAGTTGGGCCCCACTAGGAAGATCCTCCTCCATAGAGGAAGTATTGTTCATTATATAGGGGACAATTAGGTCAAGGGGAATTAGGCCAGGCCTTGGGCTAGCCAAATTCAGGCCAACTAGCAAGAAGTTGGGCGAGGCCGCCCGGAGGTGCCGGGCGGGGCTGGCGAGCGCGCACAATGCAAGGCTGGCGGGTGCGCTCCAGGAAAGGCTGGTAAGGGAGCGCCAGGTTAGGCCGGCGGGAGAGTCCCCAGCAAGGCTAGAAAGGGAGTCCATAGGCCGAGCCAGCAGGAGAGTCCCCAGCAAGGTTGGTAAGGGAGTCCCCAACAAGGCTAGCAAAGGAGCGCCAGGTGGGGTTGGCACGCCAGAGCCGTCTAGGCCATGCAAATGGACCATATATCATCAAGTCCCCCTAGTCCGATGTTATTGGTATGCGGCCAATGACATTGGACTGGACTCAGTCATATAAACCATGTGTCATAAAGTCCCCCTAGTCCGATCAGATTAGACTAGAGAAAGCACCAATATGTCTAAGAATGGAAAGAAACAACCGAACCTTTCCCACGAGAATCGTGGCGACGCGCAATGATCCAGGCATGGGTTGGCTGAATTACCTTTCCTTGTTAGGAGTGCGATTTGGTCGATATGATGCAACATAGTTGTTGTTGCGACCATGCAGATCGAGGTTGCTAATAATGTTATGTGGAGCTGGGCTGGTATGCAGCGATAATTTCCATAAGACATCGGGCCAAGCTAGCTAAGAAATGTTATCTCGCCATTCAGTCCTCGAGACTGATATCCGATGCAATTGATTTTGTAATCACACGCATATGGGATATCACTAATAACCATGTACATAATCTGCTTTGCACAAGCATCAACAACCGTCCTGAAGCTGTCTCCAATGTATGCTATGCCTAACTAGATTCCCCCCAGTCTGATGTGGGTAGCGTAGGTAGCCGAATCAGACTATGAAAAATAAGGCAAGGTTGCTATGACAATTCGTGACAAAGTGACGAAACTCTTTGTACGAGATGGACGTTGTCAACCTGATAAGCCATAAGGTTGTTGACCGTGTCATAGGTGGTAGCAGGGATCGTGCGACGAGACTATTGCCGATAGCCAGACAATAGAATTGTTGGGGGACAGGCGGTGAGGCTATAGGTTGGGGTTTCATAGCAAGACCGTTTCTGAGAGCCAGGAAACAGAGGTGTTGTGGGATATGCGACGAGGCTACAGGTAAGGTTGCACAACAAGACCATTTCCGAGAGCCAAGAAACAAAGATGTTGTGGGGTCATAGGTAGCAGTTCCGCTATCGGGATGACCTTCTTATTGGATAGTATCCTCACTATAGCAGGATGTAATGTGGATAATACTTCATCGATCGTCCAAGCACAAGAGAACCATGATGACTGTGAAAGAGGGAACACCAAGAGTACAATGTTAGGCGCATAATAAACTTGTGATGCATGACGATGTGCGACTTATGTTGTGCGATTTAAGAGAATAACTTGGGCTTAGCGGTTAGTGACCATGGAGATGTCACGCTGGAGATCATCGCGTGGGATAGATCAGGCTTAACTGCCAGCGATCATGGAGATGTTACGCGGGAGAGCATTGCATGGAATGGATCAGGCTTGGCTGCTAGGGATCGTAATTACATCACGCGGGAAAGCATCGCATGGATTCATATAGGCAGGTTGCGAGCCTTTGAGCCTCATTGGTGGAGCATGCTGATATAATGGAGTCGGGCTAAGAAGTCGCACGAGTCAAGGCAAGGGTGTTGAACCTTGCATGCTAATCGTGCTGCTATAATGGATTCGGGCTGAGAATCCAGATGACTCAAAGCGAGGGTATTGAACCTCGTATATGGAGCTTGCCGCTATAATGGAGTCGGGCTGAGAAGCCATACGACTCAAGGCGAGGGTACTAAACCTCGTATGCGGAGCTTGCCGCTATAATTGAGTTGGGCCGAGAAGTCAGACGACTCAAAGGGAGGGTAACGAACCTCGTATGCTGAGCTTGTCGCTATACTGGAGTAGGACTGGGAAGCCAAACGACTCAAGGCAAGGGAACTGAACCTCGTATGCAGAGGTTGCCGCTATAATGGAGTTGAGCCAAGAATCCAGATGACTCGAAGTGAGGGTACTGAACCTCGTATGATTGGGCGTAGCACCCCATAATCTATGTGTCTAGCTCGTATGATCAGTATAGGTTAAAGCAGAAGGGTACCTGATGCTTTGCTGCATGACCAGTCATACTAATAATTGATGGCTCGGTGTATTGGTTGTTTGCAGAGAGCTATGTGGCGGTGCTACTTAGAACTTGATAGTGTAGCTGCTGTTAGGAGGTGCATAATGAAACTGCTGTCAAGAATCGGGCAGTAGGGCTGCTGAGAACTGAGCATCGAGTTGCTAGCGATAGATGAGTAGCATGACATCTGAGAGCTACGCAACGAGACTACCGAGGGTTGAACCATGAGGCTGATCTATCGACCTGGAATATTAATGTCACCTCGGGAGTGCACTATTATGCATAACATCAACTTTTCATGTACATTAAGTCTGCCCCTTCGGAAAAAAAATCACTTCTATATAGTGTCATGCCAACCCCCTCCCCTCCCTCCCCTCCCCTTTTTTTAAAAGGAGGCAAGGAAAGGGAAAGACAGATGTATAGCTATTGAACATTGAGATACATAGTTACTGGAAAGAGCTAGGCGACCCAAGTACTAACAAAAACTAGGTAGCATGGCTGGCGAGAGCTGAGCAGCACGACTGTTGGGAGTCAGGAAATGTGACTGCTGATGATTGGGCTTTGCGGCTGCTGAGCTGGGTCGCATGGCCGCTAAGGGTCAGGTTACTTGGCCTATGAGATCTAGGAAGCGCTGCTGCTGAGAACTAGGCGGCGAGACTATTAGGGACTGATCAATATAAATGGTGGGAGCTGAGTAGCGAGACTTCCTGGAGCTGGCCACCACGGATGCTGATAGCTAGGCAACATAGTTGATGTTTGGTGTTGGGCAATAGAGCTTCTTTTTCATTCATAACACCAATTTCTTCCTCGGGATGGCCAATCGTTTATAACTTCAACTCGTTATGTATTTTAGCTCTTTACTCGAAATACAAATAACACATTTGCATAGTGTTGTGCTACTCCTTCCACTCCCTACTTTTTTAGGAATAGTGAAGAATGATATTGGCTTGTGCTTGCTTGTTCGAGCCTTATTCTTGAGCCTTTTTATCACGATCCTATTCTAAAATGATTCATGGAGTAGTAGTAGCATGCTACTCTTCTCCTTCCTCTCTCTCCTTTTTTTAAACCTTGAATAAATCGGAGTGTAGCACATCTTCTGTAGGCGTTTTTTTTCTTAAGTGCATGAAATTCCTGGTTTTATCTTCTAGAGTTAGACCACTTTTGTGTTATTCAAGAAACCTAATAAACTTGGTTGTAACCCAACAACCTATTTAAAAATTAACAGCCCAAGGTAATTTTCTTTGTGTGTTGAGGGATGAACACATTGTGCCCGTCATGCTCTTTTTATTTCCGCGTCTGAGGAAAACACATATTTGCCCATTCCTTACTAACTCAAGTGTTGTATGCCGATAAAGGAAGATATTAGCGTCTGGTTGGTCTCGAAAGCAATATTCTTTTTTAAATCCTCTTCTGATGTCGTCGGCTGAGGGAGACATCAGAGCTACGATTTTACCGGAGTTGTTGATTGATCGGAGCTGCGAGTTCGGCAGTCACCCGCGCTGGAGCTGGTTTGGTCGTAGTTCACAGTGATCTAAAACACAAAAACTGGCAACTGTTTTTTGGAGATGATCCTTTGAAGGTGGAGTAACCGATGATGGTGTCGACGAGTTATTTCTAGTGGTCATCAGTCCAATGAAGTAGCTAGAGGCAATCAACGGTGATTTGGACTACATCTTCGGTAGCGAACGATGGATCGGGAAGTTGGCGATTGGAGGTCGCCAAACATAAAGTAGGTTGGAGCAGTACTTTCATCGCTTCTGGTGGAGTAATGGTGGTGTATTGGGTCATCACGGAGCAACACAGTGGTTGGAGTTGCTATCATGCGGGGTCGATGGTGTTGAAGGGGGATGGTAATCAGAGGTGATACAAGGATGATGGTGGGGATGGTCAGCAGCCTTGGTGATGGGGTAGCGGGTGCAGTCGATTTGGTAGTGCCCTGGCTCTGGTGAGCGGGGATTGATTGAACATGTAAGAGGGTGATTGGCAGTGATGTGTAGTAACTCCCGGCTAGGGTTGGTTCTTCAGCGACTTTTCTAGCGACTCAGAGTTGTTTTGTTGGGTCGATTGGAGCTGTTACTAGTTGGCGGTCACCCCGGTTGTTGTCGCTGGTCATTCACTGGGAAGTGAACTCCATTGGAAAGAGAGAAAGCAAAGTGGGCCTGGTTTTTCTTTTGACTTATTTTGAAAACTGTGTCATTTGTCTTGTTGTCTGTTGCACTGACACCTTTACCTTCTTTACCACCTTTACCATGTGGTCATGGGTTCGAGTCCCACGGATGGCGCCAAATGATGCGACTTCGGCTCCGACCACCTGCTCCGAGGAAATGCTTCCACGCCAAGGACAGATTTGCGAGGTTACAATAGACAAGCCCATTAGAGCCGTCCCAGGGACTTTGCCCCAGGAGCGGGCTCTGACAGTCAATTTAGATCATCTAGTAGATCTGAGACGACTCTCTTTAGCTAGAAAGAACCATCTTGGTGTCGGTGGTGGTATATGGTGGCTGATGGCGGAAAGTGGCGGTTGAGCCACCCAGCCGGAGTATAGTGTGGCAGCTAGGCCCCCGGGAAGATCCTCCTCCATGGAGGAGGTACTGTTCATTATATAGGGGACAATTAGGTAAATAGGAATTATGTCAGGCCTTAGGCCAGCCCAATTCAGGCCCAGCTAGCAAGGAGCTGGCCGAGGTCGCCTGGAGGCGCCGAGCAGGGATGGCGAGCCCGCACCAGGCAAGGCTGGCGGGGCACACCAGGAAAGGCTGGTAAGGGAGCACCAGGCTAGGACGATGGGAGAGTCCCCAGCAAAGATGGAAAGGGAGTCCCCAGGCCGAACCAGCAAGAGAGTCCCGAGCAAGGCTAGCAAGGGAGTGCCAGGCGGGCCTGGCATGCTAGAGTCGTCTAGGCCATGAAAATCGACCATACATCATCAGATACAATGTGATGGTGCGAGGTTCGCTTGTATATTTAGTGGAAAGGAGATCAAGAACAATGTCAAATATGTGGTTACAACTCATGTTATGTGGCTTGATCTCAAAGAATGATTTGGAAATGAAATTGCTCCATAAACATACAAATTAAGGCGAATGATTACCACTATACATCAAGAACACTTGACTATCTCGAATTATAAAACCAAACATAGACGTGTTTGGGACGAGATCCAGTCAATAAGCCAAATTCCTACTTGCTGTTGTAACGGATGTAAGTGTGATATAAGGAGATGACAAATTAATGATACAAGGAAAGTATACATGATTACTTGATGGTACCAACAAGAAGTAATATTCCATCAAGAATCGAAACATTTGAAGCAACCTGCTATCCATACTTGAAACAACATATCATCTTGTCATCCATGATAAGCAGTAAAATCAGGGATTGGGCATGTTGGCGTGTTGAGGCAACAACATTTTAGGCGACATGGTATTATAACATCCGAAAATCCAGGTATGATAAATTGAATATTTATTTTGAAATATGAGGAGTGGCTCGACGAGTTAGTGCCTCAACTCGTCGAGGAGGATCGCAACTTGGTGATGTGGAAAATGATGGACTCGACGAGTCGGAGAGCTGACTCGACGAGTCAGTGCTAGTGGCAGAAACACTAATTTTCCCAAGTGTGGGCCCATTTAAAGGCACTTATGGCCTCCTTGGCCCCTTCTCATCAGTGTCTTTGTCTCTTTATAGAAACCCTATAGTCATTTGTGAGCTAGATAGGAAAGAGGATAATTTGAGGTCATTTCTTTAAAAAGAGGATCAAGGGTGTGCAAGGATCTCAGAGGAGAGTTGGGGGATCAGTTTCATCTTTATTTCAAGCTTCAGATTGGCTATAAGCTCTTACCTTCCTTGTGAGGTATAGAGAACTAGAAATAGCTAGCCTTGTCTGAGTAACCTTGGGGTTTTGAAGCTATAATGCTTTGAGAGGGCCAAAATGGTATATAGAGCAATATACACCATGCATGAACCCCAAGTTCAGACCTTTCCATAACTTTTGGTTGCTTGAAGGCCAGATCTATGGGTTAGAGTCCCAGATCTGAGTTCAGAAGATCATACGAGTGATGCAATGGAGATGACTCGCCGAGTTTATGAGATGACTTGATGAGTCGGATCGGATTTGCCTCGTGATTCGTGACCCAGTGATAACCCGTCGAGTTGGGAGGTTAACTTGACGAGTCGTGTGAGGCCTTAAGGGAATTCAGAGGATACGCATAGAGTCGCTGAGTCACACGAGTGCACTCAGCGAGGCTGGTTAAAGTTGGACTGTTGACTGGAGTTGGCTTTTGTTGACTTTAGGGTTTGGTCAAATGAGTGAAAGAGGTTAGGGAAGGGTAGAAGGATCTTCTACCGACTTTTCAGAGATTAGAGTAGAATATTAATTAGAAATATTAACTTGTGATAGGCGGAAGCTAGACCGAGGATTTCAGGCATGAGACTTTTACTAGCTATCGTACGAGGTGAGTCTGCTCACTATACTTTACCTAGAGTGGTAACTATGTGTGGCCAGAGGGTCTTATGTGCTTGCTTGAGTTATGCATGATTGTGTGATATGTATTGTATGCTATACTATTTGTGCTTAGACCGGATCGAAGGGTCCAACGAACTATAAGGCCAGAGGGTTCTCAATCAGACTGGATCAGAGGGTCCAAAGAGCTAGATCGAA